ATTAAAATGCTCCAACACCAATATCTTCTAGTAAAGGTCATCTTGCAACCCCAAAAAAACCAACAATCAGCAATATAAATAAAAACCGCCCACACCACCACGAGCTGCATAATAACCAGCAGCGAAACCTCCAACCAGGCCACCACATAGACCACACAGCAAAACAGAACATTCACAATACCTCCAGGAATGAAGAAAAAAGAGTACCAGAAAGGAGAACCAACAACCAAGAAACCATTAAAGCCAATGGTCAAGCACCAAAACACCAAAAAAGGGGCAAAACCACAACACCGAAAACACTTAGTAAATAACAGAAGGAACCTCCTTCTCTTCAAGTTTCAGATAACCCTTAAGCTGTTTAGGACAATTATCCCAAACAAAATCCTTATTCTCATTGAGCACACAGCCCAAACGAGCCAGCCAAATAGCACAAACGTTACTACCATTCACAATATGCAGAAAAGAGTAATTTAAACCCAACAGGCAATGTTTGATCTCACGGATAAGATAGAAGCAGTTAGCATTACAACAAGCATCCTCCTCCACAGAAAACAGAGAAAGATTAACGGAATCGATGACTACAATAAACAAATTAACAACATTGATGTTGTTGCACAGATGACAACCATAAAGGATGGCCTTATAAATGGCAGCTTGCAGGTAATCAACATTTTTTAGAGGCCTCGCAAAGGCAGCAATGAGAAAGCCTTTGCTGTCCCTGATCACCCCACCAAAACCAGCAACATTACCCTTAATACTAACATCAATATTTAATTTGTAAAAGTTATGAGGAGGTTTGTTCCATTTAAAAGTATGCACAAGAGGAATCGAAGGATCCATGGAACCACCTAAAGTATCAAAAACAGATAAATAGTTTTTAAAATCCTTTGTAGAAATCAAATTAACAGCCAAAAGAGCCGCCACCTTATCTTTAACTTTCTGAATGACATTCAAATGATCCATCTTCACACCGTTAAAAATGGAGTTGTTTCTCTCCAACCAAAGGAACCATAAGATCAGACAAGGAATAACATTACGAATATGACCTTTAACGTTAACCAACCAACAATTCAAATAAACTTTAAGAGGAAGATGATAGTTAAAGCAATTAAGTTTGAAAAGATCATCAAAATAAACCCACGTCGTCCTCACAGCAACAGGACCCGAAATCAGAACATGATGAAAGTTCTCAGTGTGTAAACAACATTGACATTTGGAAGCAAGACTAAGCCCCTTATAAATCATGTTATCATCCGTAGGAAGAAACTTATGTAAGGCTCTCCAAACAAAAATAGAAATAGTGTTAGGGATATTCTTATGCCAAATTTTAGTAAAAATACTCTGACAGTCACCTTTATTCCTAAAGGCATTCCAAGCACTTTTAAGAGAGAATTTACCATCTTTGGAAGCATTAAACATAAGAATATCCTTGGAGTGATTATTAATAGGCACCTTAATGATCCGCTCCCTAATGCAATCCAGAACCTCACTCGAAATCTTGTGAATAACCCAACAATTGTTACTGAAAAAAGAGTTAACTTTAAGCGTGGACACGGAAGAAGTATTAAGAATATTATCAATCGATTCATTACCAAGCCATTTATCTTGCCAAAAAAATATTTCACCAACCCCAAGCCCCCAAGAGAGGAGAGGATATCCCATTTAACCTTACACATCCTCCTCCAAACTCTAGAGATACCATGTTTGATACAAATATTAGAGGGGTGCTTACCATTACCGTATTTAGCAACCATGAATTGAGACCAGAGATTATCTTTCGAAAGAAATTTAAACCAAAGTTTAAAGGTGAAGGCCTTAGCAAGATCCCAAAAGTTCTTGCAACCAAGGCCACCCTCACCCCTAGCACCACAACAATTATCCCATTTAGACCAATTGATTTTGGAAGAAGTAGTGTCACGCTAGAAGAAATTATTAATAAGCCTATGTAACTTATTACAAACAGTTTTGGTAGGAGCAATAGTTTGAAAACTATAAACAGATAAAGCACATAAGACACTTTTAATAAGAGTGAGTCTGCCACCAAAACTGAGGAAATTAGATTCCCAAGACTGCAGTTTGTTTTGAACAGATGCGATGAGATCATTAAATAAAAAAGAAGATTTCCTGCCTT